CTGCCCTGTCTGGGGTCGCTCTGCAGAGACCCTAAATGGATTTCCTTGTAGAGGGCCAGACTGCTGAATTGCCCCATAACATTTTGGGGGGCCTGAGGAGGGCCCCTCTGCCAATTTCCCTGCAGGGGATTCCCTTGGTATTCCTTTTTTGATTTACATCCATTAGCCCAATGTTTTTCTCTTTTTTTGGTCCCCAGGCTTATTCCTTTATCAGGACACTGCTTGATCTCATGCCCCATCTGACTACACCCAAAGCAACTTCCAGGAGATCTGTTAATTCTCCCTCTCCCTGGGCCTTGATTTCTTTATCAGAAGAGAACATCCTTAACTATTTTTCCCTGTGATGTAGCAGCCATGGCTAAGCCCTGACTATATGAGGGCCCAGTATTTGAACAAAGGTGAATATAATCAGAGATGTTGTCTTTCTTTCTAAAAGGTCTCAAAGCAGCCTGATAGGCAGCATTAGCATTCTCATACACTAGCTCGTTAGCAAAGGCCTAGATTCTCCATCCCCAATTCACCTGCCTGTTGTTGACATTAGCCTAGAGACAAAGACCTAAAATAATCCATCAGGTTCCTGCCTTATTTTTGACAAGTCCTCAGTATATTTTCCAGAAGATGGAAACTTATTTCAGGCCTTCTTGGCAGCTGCACTGATCTGGGCATACACTGCCACACCATAATTTAACTGCTGATCTGTCTCCTGATAAATGCCTTCTCCAGCGAGCATATCAAAAGTAATGGGAATTTATTGGGACCACTTTATTTCAGCTGTGACTTGACATTGTTCAGCAAATTCAGTTTTCCACAACAGGTAGTCCCTGCCTGACAGGCAAGCTTTGGCCATCTGTTTCTGATCTCCGGGAGGCAAGGTCTCTACAGCCATGTTTTCTAACAGAGTTTGTGTAAAAGGAGCAGGGGACCTATATGGAGAACAGACTATTTTAAATTCCTTGAGTTGTTTAAATGGGATTGACACATGCACCCTGACTAAATTTCCCTGAGTGTCCAATTGCTCCATCACTGGAATCATCGGAAACCTTGCACATCCTCTTCTCTGCTAACTGCCGCTCTAATACTAGCTTGTGGATGAGATGCATGACTAACGGTGAGTGTTGCCATGTTCCAGGAGGTCTTTGCAACATAGACAGCCCCCTAAGTGGATCTAAACCAGCTGCTACAGTAGGCAGAAGAGTGCCCTTCCGAAAAGACTTGCAGAATCTCATTTTTATTTTAAAGGATAGCACCACATCTCTCAAGCCCTTTAGCTCCGGCTCAATCTCACCACAAGGTTTCTACCTCTCGTCATTCATGGTCAGACATGAGGAAGGGCTTCTTCCTCAAGCCCAGCAGTCAAACTGATCATCACCAAACAGCTCCTCTGGCAGTGTGGAGGGTTTTGCTTCTAACTGTTCCAGAGGGAAATACCTCCTGCCATTCAGGGCACAAATCCAAACTGTGCCACATAAATGCCCACAGACTAAGCATCCACTGGGACTCCTCCAGGATTATACTCATCATGTTGTTGGATTTTCACTCCAATTCTCTCGCGTGTGTCTGCATCCAAGGTCCCGTGCTCAGGAAGCTAAAGGCACACCTGCTCTACAAACTCAGAAAGTTTCTGTGCTTGCTGCTGCTCTACTTCAGCTCCTCTGGGCTGTTAAAATATATTTAAGCAAATGTATAAACAGCTGGCTACTATTACCCTCCCCGTATTTACAGCTTTCCTCCAAGTTACTCACAGCGCTTCCTCTTTGCTATTATCTGAGCCCCTTTCACCTGTACTGTCCTTCACTTAGGTTTTTAGGTCTCCTTTGTCAGGACCTGCCGACCTGTTGAACATGCCTGAAAAGGGGAGTGAGGACTGAGAAGAGAAAGAGACAAGAGACAGAAGATAGAGTCAGGAGGGCTCTCAGTAAATACTGTAGCCACCTCGAATTTATTTCTCATTGTCCTTTTATACCCCAAAAAAGAGGAGGACAAAAGACTTCAAGGAACAAACAAAAGCAATCATCTCCTTAATTGTCAAAACACATCTAGTGACCACACCTTTGGTTAAACATCCTGTCATTTGGCCTTGGCAAACTTGAACTCTTTGATCTTGAGTCAAGATGGGAATAGAGTCACTGTGAACTTCTACAATCAACCTACAATCCGCAGCCCCAGAGAGGCTAGATAGCAAAGAGGGCCCAAAGAGGGATGCGTGGATTTCCCTGGGAAGGGGAAATAGAAGAGATCTCCTGGATAAACTGGGGTGGGGGTGGAGGGATGGGAACTTGAGGGAGCAAGAGCTGGGTTGGAGGCTGGATGGAGGGGGGAAGTAATAAAAGAGGATGACCCCAGCTAAGAATCCTAGCAATACTATAGAGGGTGCCTAAACTGGCCATCTGCTATAATCAGATTGATTTCCTAACTGTCATCAGAGATAATCTATTCAGAAACTTAGGGAAGTAGAGGTAGAGATTCACAGCCAAGCACTGGACTGAGCTTTGGGAGTCTTGCTGATGAAAGGGAAAAGGGATTGTATGAGCCAGGGGGGTCATGATGGGGGAACTTACAGAGATAACTGACCTGAGCTCATGGGAGCTCATGAACTCTGGACTAACAGTTAGGGAGACTCCATGGGACCAATCTAGGTCTTCTGCATGTGTATGACAATGTGTCACTTAGTCTCTTTGTAAGACTACCAGTAGAGAGATCAGGACCTGTCTTTTTGGGACCCTGTTCTACATGCTGGATTATCTTGCCCAGCTTTGATGCAAGGAGAGGAGCTTGGTCCTGCCTCACCCTGATGTGCCATGCTTTGTGCAGGCCCATGGGAGGCCTGTCCCTTTCTGAATGGAGATGGAGGAGGAGTAGAAGGGGAGGGGCGTAGATGGGAAGGGGGGGGGGATCCGGAAGAGAGGAGGAAGGGGAAACTTCAGTTGGTATGTAAAATAAATAAAAAATATTATTTAAATAAAATAAAATAAGAAATAGCCAATCTCTTTTAAAAGTTCAAGTCTTTCAGCATAAACAATTCAATGTCCAACTATCTGGGTTTCACTGGAGATCTTCTGGAGTCCTCCAAAGAGTCTGGGTCACTTCTCAAGCTCTGCCCTCTGCAACACACATAGTTTATCTTCTAGGCTCCAGTTAGCTCCACTCCATTGCTGCTGCTGGTCTTCCAATGGTACTGGCATCTCCAAAATGCTGGGGCCCCTTGCTGCAACTGGGCTGCACTTCACCAATAGCCTCTCATAGGCTGTCTTCATGGTGTAAGGCTTCAACTTCTTTGCATGACTCCTTTAGCCTGGGCCTTCGACTACACTGAGGCTGCACCTGTACCAATGGCCTCTCCTGGCCTCTCACAGTGCCAAGTCTCAGCTGCTCTCCATGACCCTTCATGCCTTCAAAACCAGTATCATCTGGGTGATCCTTACACATTACCAAGTCTGGCTACCAACATGTGGTACAACCTTGGTCACCTCTGGAACAGATCTTCCCTGTGCTCTCAGGAAACACTCACCAGAAGAGTTCTGTGAAGCTAGTCTCAATCACCACTAATTTGTTAGCTCCATCATCAACTGTCCCTTTACAGCAAAATTTTGCTTCAGTAGTTCGGGTATTATGTTAATCTCAGCTGACTCTTCAGCCCCAGCTAACCAGAACCATATCATCTTAATTCAAAACAGCAAATGGCCCTGGTAGAGTCTCTAATACTGCCTCTGAAGTTCACAGGCCGGGCCTCCATTTTCTCAACATTCTTATCTTCCAAGTTCCACAGAACGCCCCACAGAACTCTATTTGTTTTTTTTAATTAATTAATTTATTTATACAATATTCTTTCTGCGTGTATGCCTGAAGGCCAGAAGAGGGCACTAGACCTCATTACAGATGGTTGTGAGCCACCATGTGGTTGCTGGGAATTGAACTCAGGACCTTTGGAAGAGCAGGCAATGCTCTTAACCGCGGAGCCATCTCTCCAGCCTCCCCCCCCCCCCCCCGAACTCTTAACACTCAAACTTCTAGCCCAAAGTTCCAAATTCCTTCCACAAACCTCACCAAAACATGGTCAGGTCTGTTACAGCAATGCCCTACTTCTGGTACCAATCTGTCTGCATTAGGATTTCTTTTGCTGTGATGAAACACCAGGACCAGCAAGTTGGCGAGGAAGGGGTTTATTTGGCTTACACTTTAGCATTGCTGCTCATCACTGAAGAAAGAAGTCAGGACAGGAACTCAAGCAGGGCAGGATCCTGGAGCAGGAGCTGATGCAGAGGCCATGGATCAGTGCTGCTGACTGGCTTGCTTCCCATGGCTTGCTCAGGCTACCTTCTTTTTTTATTTTAGTTTTTATAAAAAGGAAACAAACTGTCTTTTTTTCATTTTACATACAAATCCCAGTTCCCACTACCTCCCCTCCTCCCATCACTTCCACCTTTTCCCCCACCCCCATCCACTCCTCAGAGGGGATAAGGCATATTGCTTTGAGGAAGGACCAAGGCCCTCCCTGCTATATCTAGGCTGAGCAAGGTGTCCATCCAAAGAGAATGGGTTCCAAAAAGTCTGCCCAAGCAATTGGGAAAAATCCTGGTGCCACTGCCAGTGGCCCTGCAGTGTGCCCCAACCATACACTGTCACCCACATTCACAGGGTCTAGTTTGGTCCTTCCCTGTCTGACCAGAGTTGGTGAGCTCCCATTAGCTCAGGTAAGCTGTTTCAGTGAGTGTCCCCATCATGGTCTTGACCTCTTTGCTCATATTCCCACTCTTCTCACTCTTCAACTGGACTTTGGGAGCTCCGTCCAGTTCTCCGCTGTCAGTCTGGATTCTTATAGAATCCAGGACCAGCAGCCCCAGGGACGGCACCACCTGCCATGGGCTGGGCCCTGCCCCAATGATCACTAAATGAGAAAATGCCTTCCAGCTGGATCTCAAGGAAGCATTTCCTCAGCTGAGGCTCCTTCCTCTGATGACTCCAGTTTGTGTGGGAGTTGTCAACTGTTCTTGTTTTCACAGAATGGCTACACACCGCTTATACTGGCAGTGCTGGAAAACAAACTGGAGATGGTGGAGCTGTTGTTACGGGCCGCGGCCAATATAAACGCCCTGGATAACTACAAGAGGTACCTTCAAAACCCTTTTCAATCCTTCCAACATTCTAGAGTGGTTGTGATAATTTAAAACATCAATACTAAATTCATAAGAATTTAGCTTACACTTATAGGAAACACATTAAAACAAATTAACAGGTAGGTAGAAATTAACTGTTCAACTTTGTCTGTCTCTCACACATTCAAAACTATGGCAGGGCTCACATTTCCTAATATTGACTGATCTTTGTTACTTGAAGTCGACTTTTTAGTCATATGATTTTATATTAACTAAAATAGTTTCATATTAGCCTTATTTTTAGAAATGTAAACTGCTAGTTTAAGATTCCAATGAAAGGGGGCTGGAGAGATGGCTCATTGGTTAAGAGCATTGCCTGCTCTTCCAAAGGTCCTGAGTTCAATTCCCAGCAACCACATGGTGGCTCACAACCATCTGTAATGGGGTCTGGTGCCCTCTTCTGGCCTGCAGGCATACACAGACAGAATATTGTATACATAATAAATAAATAAATAAAAAAAAAAGATTCCAATGAAATTCTTAACAATTTTACAGTATTTCCCACCTCTGTCTCTTGCATACATTTCCTCTAAAATTCTGTATTAGTGAGAAATACTTTTGAAAATTGTTTTATATCTTTGATGGCTCTTTGCTTTAAGTTGCTTTGTTTGAAGAATATCAGTGTTGGATTATCTCCAAATGACCAGACTGCATCTTATTAGATTATTAATCAATGTCTCCCCGTCCTTCTCTGATTTATGTTGATGTGTTCAGCTTGTCACTAGTCTGACCAAATATAGAAGAAACCATTTAATGGAGGAAAAATTTATTTTGCGTCACAGTTTCACGGGCTCCAATCCACGGTGGGCTAGAGTTACCTTGGAGCCAGAGTAAGGTAGATTATTACAGGAAGTGGGGGCATGAAGCAGGGGAAGGTCTCATCTCCTTAAAGCCAGGACACAGAAAAACAGGAAGGTACCCTGACAAGGCAAACCCTTCAAAGGACACGGCCTAGTGACCCAGGTCCTTCCCCAGAACCCGCATGCTAATAGACAAGCTACCAACAATCTCACAAATGAATTCATATACAGATGCCGTTAGCACCATGTGATCTAATCACCTCAGTGGTGCAACCTCCTCGGGCCAACTCCTCAGCCCTTAAAACTTGAGTCGATGTCCACTCATTGGACTGGCATGTACAGAGGAACTCACCTAGCTCCACCCGAGTAAACTTCCAGTAATGAAAGCAGGTTCTAAGAGATGGATAAAGACAACTTAGCTTCCTCCTCACAAGACTGGGTTTATCTGTGCCTTCCTGATTAATGCATGGCCTCACAAACATTACTTATCACCAAATATATTTTCTGAGGTGAACATAAGGATATATTCCTTTTTATCATTTATCTTATTTATATGCATGAATGTTTTGCTTGAATGGATACATGTGCACCATTTGTCTGTCTGGTGCTCATAGAGACAAAAAGAGGGCATCAGATTCCCTGGAATTGGGGTCACAGTTTTGCACCATCATAACTGGGTCTGAAACTGGGCCTTCTCTACAAGAGCATTAAGTGCTCTTAGCTATGGAGCTAGCTCTCTAGTCTGCCAAAATCAGGATAATATTCTTGAAGAGTTGTTTTCACATGTCTATGTAGCATTGATATCAGCACCTAGCTCAAGGTAGTCAGACTCATTAACCAAATCACTGTTACCAAAAATTATCTTTAATTTTAAAGTTCTATTTATTTTTTATGTTTATGAATGTTTTGTCTGCATAGATTTCTGTGTATCACATACATGTCTGGTACCCAAGGAAGTCAGAAGTGGGTGTAAGATCACTGGGAGCAGGAGCTAATATGATTGTGAGCCACCATGTGGGTGCTGAGAACAGAACCCAGGTCCTCTGCAAGAACAAACAAGTGTTTTTAACCACGGAGCCATTTCTCCAACCTGCTATTATCTTTACTACTAATATTTTATATTAATAACTTTTGAAATAACACCAATAACTTTTCCTTGTTTGGCCTGTTGCTGACTATGAATTACAGTCTATTACATCAGGCTGGGGAAGTCATGGAGACATCTTCATTTAATTTCGCCCACTTCAGGTAAATGATCTAGGCATAGCACTAGCCCCTGCATGGCATGGAATTCTACTGAGCAGCACAGCAGTGGTGCAGGAGGGCTCTGGGTTCTCCCCTTTAGCATTAGAGGTAACAAAGATCAGTGAATGAGATCCCCCCTATGGTTTTGTCTGTTCTTAACTGCTAATGACTACTCTAACACACAGGCTACAGGGGAACTCAGACAGTTGTTTATATGACTTTAAGAAAGTGTGCCAGGAAGCCCGGTGTTGGTGGCACTAGCCTGGTCTATCTAATAAGTGCCAGGACAACCAGGGCTATGTCTCAAAATAAATACATAAACAGACGGACAAGTAAATAAAGTGAAGTGTGTCAGGGTAACATTACATTTGTTGTTTTAGGTCTGCCCTCATCCATGCTGTGAGAGCTCAGTCTAGAGACATGATCGGCTTTCTTCTCCAGCAGGGTGCAGATGCGTCTTTGGTGGATGTCTACGGGGCAACTGCACAGAGTTACACTGTTTTTGAAACCTTTCAAGTGTAAGTGTTTATATTACAGTACTGGCTAGCTTCAAGTTGATATTTTTAGTAGTTATAACCACCCCATCCTTATATATCCAATGAGATTTCACAGTCCAGTCTGTGGCATGGCCATGAGTTAGTGGACTTCATGGACCAGAAGCCAAGCAAACACTGGACTAGGTTGGAGGAGGGACAGGTACAGAGTTCTCTATCTTAGGACCTTGACTTTGGCAGCACTGGCGACTGAACTGAGATTCGCAACTGCTTGGTATGGTCTCCCCTGCGCTAGACCCCCAGGCCCTGTCTCAGGAGGGCTAAGTCCTTTACTTAGGATCAGAGCACCACTCTTCCACTCCGATCCTAAGACCCACACAAGGTGTATAGATAGTGTTCCGGCTTTACGTGGCCTTATTGGTTGTTTGGGTTTTTTAATGTCAAAATTAGCAGAAAATGTGGCTATCTTCTCCTGAGTTCTCTCCCTCAATATTGTTCTTTTTTTCAGTTTTTAAAATATTATTTTTATATGTATGGGTGTTTTGCTTGCATGTATGTCTATGAATCTCTTGCATGACTGATGCCCACAGAGGCCAGAAGAGGGTGGAACTGGAGTTACACACAGCTGTGAGCTGCCAGGTGACTGTTAGGATCAAAGCTGGGTCTTCTGCAAGAGCAGTGTTCTTAACCACTGGGCCATCTCTCCAGCCCCTGGCGTTTATAGTTTTTAATGTTTGACGCTTTCTTTCTGGCAAGAGATGCCCAATAACAACGGACAGGCTTTCCTTTGATTCTTCTACATTTAGACTTCTGATTAACGTTTTCAAGGGTTTTCTCAGCCGGGGCAATTCAGGCAGCAAAAGCAACAAGAACCAGTCCTTGAACCCTCAGCTCATCTTTAAAGAGAGGACATTGTACAAATAGATAATCCTGTCACTCCTGGCCGTGGAATCCAGAGGGAGTGTTCCTTGAGAACATTCTAGACTGAGAGAAGTAGAAGCTAGAAGCAGAAAGAGGAACCTGCAAGCTTGATTGTTTCAGAAGTTGACATAGAAACAAATAAAAACTGCCATATAGCTGGCTGTGGTGGTGCACTCAGGGGGCAGAGGCAGGCAGATCTCAAAGTTGGAGGCCAACCTGGTCTACAGAGTGAGTTCCCGGACAGGCAGGGCTGTTACACAGAGAAACTCAAATAAACTTAACCAAACCAAAATAAAACAAAAAACTAGATGGCTTACTTTTCCTAGGACTTAAAAAAAAAACTTCTAGCTCTCCTCTCACTGTAGTCTTTGCTCTGCAGGCTTTCCAAAGGCCCCAGTTCTACAACAAGAGAGGACAGATATAATTCTGATGCCAAGGTAAAAAGCTGATTTGTCATGCTGACTTTTTGATTTGGGGCTCTGGGGATTTGGTTCAGTGGTGGGGTGTTTGCCTGGCTAGTATAAGGGCTAGGTTTGGTCCTCAGCTCCGAGTGGGGGACATGTGCTGTAAATTTGTTCTCTCTCTCTCTCTCTCTCTCTCTCTCTCTCTCTCTCTCTCTTCTAATAGCAAAGTTGACTTGGGAAGAGGCTTTAACATAGATTTTTATGCGCAAACATTAATTCAAAGAGGGGGTGGGGTAGGAGACAGAACAATAGTCTGAAAACTTGTGTGGCCTTTCTCAATGAAGAGTCAGACTTGTTTTACAAATAGCCCTATATACAATCTTGGTGGCTTCTGAGGTGACATTGTTCAGGGGTTTGGTGTGCTGGCTGGTTTCTGTCGATTTGATACAAACCTAGACATATCTGGGAAGAGGGAATTTTAATTGACAAAATAAGATTGCCCTACAGGCAAATCTGCGGGCATTTTCTTGATTGATGATTTGTGTGGGAGGGGAGGGCCCAGCCCATTGTGGGTGGCTCTACCTCTGAGCAAGAGCTCCTGGGGTATGTAAGAAAATGAATGGAGCAACAGGGATTAACCAGCTAGGAAGCCACACTCCTTCCTGGTCTCTGCTTCCGTTCCTACCTCCAGGTCTCTGAGTTCCTGCCCTGGCTTCCTTGCAAGCTGTAAGATGAAATAAACTTTCCTCTCCAAGTTAGTTTTGGTCTTGGTGTTTTATTACATCAAAAGAAATCCCATCTAAGACAGTTGGTAAGGAATACTTGCCCCATCTTTTGTAAATGAGATCTTAAGTGAATCTTAAGTGAATAGCTCCTGGCTGTGATTGGGCAGGTTGGAGGCTGATCTGAAAACACTCTAAGTCACAAGGTCAAAGGAATCCCTGTTGACAGGTCACAGGGAGTTGAGAAATGCACTTTGACTATAAGCGAAGTTCATGAAACTGTGAGATTCTCAGAGCTGCAGGTTAACAGCTGGGACATGGGAAGGGTAAACTGGAAGCTCACATTCGTTTAGGTCTAAGCTTGGTTCATCGCTATGTGAACAGTATTATTTGAAGTGTCTGTACAAAACCCTGTCTCTCTATAAACAATCTTCACACTGATTTGATTGTGTTGGGAGGCCTGGATCACCTGACTGCCATTTCCTGAGAGTCCAGACCAGGGCTTCCTTTCCCTTTGCTTGCTCCACTAATTTCCCTGTCTTTATATCCTGCCTCAATTTCCCCTTTAGTACCCTTTTATCTGAGGCTTTTCTCCCTTGATTGTAAGAACTGTATATGAGCCGGGCGGTGGTGGCGGGCGCCTTTAATCCCAGCTCTTGGGAGGCAGAGGCAGACGGATCTCTGTGAGTTTGAGGGCAGCCTGGTCTACAAAGCTAGTTCCAGGTCAGCCAGGGCTACACAGAGAAACCCTGTCTTGAAAAACTAAACCAAACAAACAAAAGAACTGTATATGAAGCCTCTTCGCTGCTGAGCAGGGATGCAGGCTCTGTCCACCCAGGGACTCAAAAATCTTGATCATGTTGATGGAATAGAACCTCATGAAGGTTGTGAATCTGGGGGGAGGCTGTTCTTATTCAGGATGTCAAAGTATGCTGTGCCTGGGCCTAAGATCAGTTTGGATGTGTAAATCACAGAGGACCGAGAACGTATTGCCCAAGTTGTTAGGAATGTATACAGAGTCTTCTAATAATGGTACAAGCTGTCTTAAGTACTTCTGTTAGTATTTCAAGGGCTTTCTGGATTGAGACCCTTGATTTGTGAAAATAAATATTAATGCTTATATCATAACAGTATGGCTAAGACAACAAAAATTTCAAGGCGTAATCTAGCATCAGAACAAATGAAAAGAAAACTACAGTGAAGTTGTAATCATTGCGTCTGATTATAGCCACAATGAACAATTTAACCACTGCGAGGTCATAAATGTGGATAGAGTTATAGCTGGACTTGACTTTGTACTTGAGATCTTTTCTTGTTTTAGACTTTGCAGCCTTACCATGTTTTGCTGGTAACTGGCATTGCCCTTAGGTGGTTCTTGAGGCTCTGGAGACTCAGAGGGGACAGACTTCGTTCTGGAATAAGGCTACATTAAGTTGATTTCTTCCGGTCTGGGGAGAGCAGGCCACAGTGTACCCTTAAGGTGTCAGCAGATACATATATTCTTGGCATGGAGGCTTCTGAGTAAAATCTAATTGTGCTCTCCGCAGAGGCTGAAGCAAGTGTGGGTGCTATAGTAGAGACTGAGCAGCAAGCTCATGTGAGGTTTGGGGGGGCTGCAGATTTTAGTCCTCCCCAAGTTATTAGAGGAATTGCTAAAGTTCTCAGGTAACATGAATCATGAATGCCTCCTTTGGTCTCCCAGAGGCAATGGGATCTTGTGTTCTCTGGAGTCCCCTTGCCATTTTCAGATCGCCTGCATCCTTGGGTGGCCCACGCCCTCGCTGCTTCTGGATTAAATGATTATAACTAATTCTTGCAGAGATATCAGAGCCATTTCCTCATCTTCAGCAATGTGTTTGCCAGTGTCCCATAACTTAGGAGAGATTCCAGATGTAACAACTTATCCTTAGGCCATGTCTAGTGCAATTCCCAAGCTGGTGCTGATAGTAACAATGCCTTTTAGATTGAAGAAAAGTACTTCTAACCAAGGTAAGAAGTTACTGAAAGACAAATGTCTAGACTTTCCTAAGAAGAAATTCATGTAATTAAACCATGCAAACACATTGCAACATTTAACAAACAGGTAAATTTTCCCAGTGTCCCACTGGGAGCGTGGGTGCCAGGAATTGGCACCAGGGGTCCTGACACCTTAAATACAATTGAATTAAATGAGTATTTTCTGTAACCTTGAGGGAATGTTGACGTCATTGGAAAAGATCTTCACTGTGTGCTCCTGAAGCTTGGCTTCCTTAACTCTAGACATTTGCCACAAAACATGGGGCAGAAGAGACAGGGAATCTTGAGATGTGAGCGGGAACAGTAAGTGGTTTGGACCATTAGAGACTGCAAAAACCCCCGGAGCATCTATTGGCTGGTTCCTCTAACAGCCTGTTGAAGCACATTGACAAACATGGTTGTCTCATTCAGAAGGGAACACTCTGGAGACCAGATACCACAACAATGGGCCAGTGTGTTACCACCTGCAGCAAGCCACAGTAGGCGAGGGAGTGGCCACCCTTGAGGAACAGGTGTAGTGACCATGTACGGATAGCCTTGTCAATAGAACCAATGAGGAAGAAGCTGCCACCGCGGCTTGCCAGTTGCTTTCCTGTTGACTAGATATGAACTTAAAATAGTTTCTTCCATGCACAATGCACATTTTTGTAATGTTCTCCAACACTTTGGGACAGGAATTGAGGAAGCCAGCTCAGCAGTGAAAAGCCGGCTTATGAATTCTATAAACAGTCCATCTAAATCCCAGAGTTCTAGCTATGGAATCAAAGAGCACTGGCTCACCAAGCACTAATTACAAATGGAGACAAGTGTCATGATAAATGCGACAAAAGCGATGGACGCAAAGGTCCCAGAAAAAGGGAGGCACGGAAGGAGAAGCCTGTGCAATGGTGGTGGTCAGTAAGGGGGCCTTCCACAGTACGGGCAGCATCTGGAGGGAGCGGGACCTTTGTTTACCCTGTGCCCATGCTCTGGTCACAGGTCCATTCAGAAGATGCCAGTGCAGTTGAGAAATATGCAGTTTGTTGAGTTCTTGGCCTTTTCACTTTCTTTTTTAACAGGAAGACTGCTTATCCTGTGCACAATCCACCCAGGACGGGGAAAGGATGGCACAATCGCCAGCGAGGGAGGAGAGCAACAGAGGCGCAGCGGACAAGCTGGGGAGGTACAGCTGCCTGCACATTCCCTTAGTTAAAACAAGCACCATGGTGGTATGAGATGGTCTCTGTAACATTAAACTGATAAGAAGAAACTCGTTTGTAAGTGTTGGTAGTTCCTGAAAACCACGCCAATAAAGCATAGGCTAATGATAGCAGCCATTATTTGAGTGGGAAAGACAAGACAACCAAATACAGTAACTTAGGCTCCCTTTAAAGCTGCCTGATATTTGCCATTTGCATGCAGCCTGACTGGTCTTATGAGCTCAGTCCAGTGTAAAGGGATCCCCAAGAGTTGCTTTACTTTCTCCCTCTGGTGTGTATATGTGGGGAGAAAACCCTTTAACTGGATAAAAGTCATCGGTGTGTGGTAAAGGAAAGAGTTAGTTTAGTTTCCAGCCTTCCCATTTGCTGGGAGTGTGACTTGGGACGGTTTATAACTGTTTCCCGTTGTGAGGTGTGTGGCGCGGGCTTGCAGGTGGCGCTAAAAGCCACTGCTTCCGTGAGTGCTGACTCCCAGATTACCGTTGCCAGTCACTTTACTGCTCTGTTATTGTTGCTCGTGTTTTTTCTGCAGAAATCTTTTACTTCTTTGACCTTTACCTGACCTCCAGCACAACTCGTCCCACAGAACTTTCCATTGCAGCAGTGGCCTGCATCCTCCCCACACCCGTGACCCGTGTGGAGAACTTAAAAGTACTATGGCTGTTCTAGTCAACTTAGACACACACAGACAAACACCAACACATGCACACAGGCACGCGCACAAATCCACAGCGATCACTTGTAGAATAGCTTTAGCAGAGGTACTATCCATGGAAAGCCCTCTGATTAATATAAAGTAGGTTGTGATACACGGTGAGCTAAGAGGCTTTCTCTTTTATCTGTCTCTGTTTATAGCTTTGAAGATAATTTGTAAGAATGAATACTTAACAATAAAGCTCCCAAGTTATTCATTTTGTTCCTATATGTGAATTTTCAATTCTACTGGGACAGCTAAGATCCCAAATATAACCAAAATATACGACCACACGAACAGACTAAAAGACAAAAACCACATCCATGTTCATACTGTTAGATGCAGAAAAGGTTTTTGACAAGATCTAATGTCCCTTCATAATAAAAGTCCTGGAGAGACTAGAGATACAGTGGGCATGTCTCAACATAATAAGGCAATTCAAGGCAATCCCACAATCAACATAAACTTAAATGGAGAGAAACTCGAAGTGTTTCCACTAAAATTAGGAACAAAACAAGGTTCTCCCCTCCTCCATACTCATTCAGTCTGGTGTTTGAAGTCTTTGCTAGAGCAGTAAGACAACTAGCTGATGGAGATCAAGGAGCTGCAGATTGGAAAGGAAGAAGTTAAAGTATCTTTATTTACAGGTAATATGGCTTTATACGTAAAGGAACCTAGAAAATTCACCAGGACATTTCTACAGCTGATAAACACTTTCACTAAAGTGGCTGGATATAAAATTAGCACGCAGAAAAATCAGTAGCCTTCTGTTTTAGGATTTCCGTTGCTTCAATGAAATGCCATGACCATAAAGCAAGTTGGGGAGAAAAGGGTTTATTTGGCTTACACTTCCACATTGTTGTTCATCACTGAAGGAAGCCAGGACAGGAACTCAAGCAGGGCAGGATCCTGGAGGCAGGAGCTGATGCAGAGGCCATGGAGGGATGCTGCTTCCTGGCTTGCTCCTAATGGCTTTCTCAGCCTGCTTTCTTATAGAACCCAGGACCACCTCCTCATGGATGGCACCACCCACCATGGGCTGGACCCTCCCCCATCAGTCACTAATCAAGAAAATGCTTTACGCTGATCTTATGGAGGCATTTTTCTCAATTAAGGCTCCTTCCTTTCAGATAACTTTAGTCTGTGTGCCAGGTTGACAGCAGGCTGGCTGGCTTGCCTTCCTATATACAAATGATAAATGGACTGAGAAAGAAATTGGAAACAGACCTTTAATAATAGCCTCAAAAATATCTTGGGGCAATTCTAACCATGTAAGTGAAAGACTTGTATAATAAAAACTTAAAGACATTGAAGAAATTAAAGAAGACACCAGAAGATCAAAAATATCTCCATGCTCATGGATCAGTAAAATTATTATAATGAAATGGCCATCCTACCAAAAACTATCTATAGATTCAACACAATCCTCATCAAAATTGCAACACAGTTCTTCACAGAAACTGAAAAACTAATTTTAAGATTCATATGAAAATACTCACACATACAATAGCAGGGCTGCTAAAACAATCCCGAATAATAAAAGAACTGCTGGAGGTCTCACCTCCTCAGATTTCAAGTTGCATTACAGACGTATAGCAATAAAAATAGCATGGTGTTTGCATTAAAACAGATATATTGATTAATGGAATTGAATCAAGGAACCAGTTATAAGTCCACTCACCTGAGTTTCGACAAAAAAAAAAAAAAGCCAAAAATATGCACTGGGGGAAAGAGAGCATCTTCAACAAATGGTGCTGGTCTAACTGTAGAAGGAGTTGCTGGCAGGCCTGCTTTTCGTCCTACCCAGCTACCGCACGGCTAGCTTAGCCCCGGAAATAATTACATGGAAACTGTATTCTTTTAAGCACTGCCTGGCCCGTTAGCTCTAGCCTCTTATTGGCTAATTCTCACATCTTGCTTTTACCCATATTTAGTAATCTGTGTAGCACCACAAGGTGGTGGCTTACCAGGAAAGATCTTAACCTGCGTCTGTCTCAGAGAGAAGAGGCATGGTATCTGACTCACTTCCCTTCTTCCCAGCATTCTGTTCTGTCAACTCTGCCTATCTAAGCTGCTGTCCTATCAAAGACCAAGGCAGTCTCTTTATTTGACCAATGAAAGTAACACATAGACAGAAGACCCACCTACAACAGAACTGAATAGCACAAAATTCCAAATGGATCAAGGACCTCAACATAGGCCAGACACATGAATCTGGTAGGAAAGAAAGTTAAACAGCCTTTAACTTGTGGGCACAGGAAAAGACTTCCTGAACAGAACACTGGTAGCAGAGGCACTAAGACCTACAATAAATACCCAGGACCTCATGAAACTGAAAGCTTACGTATGGCAAAGGACACGGTCATTCACATACAGTGACAGGCTAAAGAATGGAGGGGGTCTCTACCTATTACACGTCTGATAGGGACTAACATCTAAGATACATCAATAACTGAACAAAACAAACCAAACAAAAAACCTTGGCATCAAGAAAACTAATAACCCAGTTTAAAAATGGGGGACAGAGCCGGGCGATGGTGGCGCACGCCTTTAATCCCAGCACTCGGGAGGCAGAGGCAGGCGGATCTCTGTGAGTTCGAGACCAGCCTGGTCTACAGAGCTAGTTCCAGGACGAGCTCCAAAGCCACAGAGAAACCCTGTCTCGAAAAAAAAAAAATGGGGGACAGAGCAAAGGTGAGTGTTCTCAAAATGACTTTCTCTGAACATTTACTCTATTAATCCTTGATTAATTTTTCCTGAGTAACCAATGCCAATGTAGTCTGTATTGAGATCCATATTATAGAAAAGGCCGTAAACTCATGTCTTTGAATCATAGTTAAAAAAAAAAAAATCCTGCTTGACCCATTCAGAGGGAAAGACAAACACAAAGAAAAACATCAGGGAAACTAAGGAACTATGATTCCTCACCCTCTTCCTGACCATGGCCAGTGGACTGCAGCTCCGTGAGCTCCTGTCCGTGGTGACCATTAGAGGATTGGCTCTGGTTTCTGGACAATCCTCAGGAGAACTGGTGCATTCTGGGCAATTCCCTGAGAAGAGCCGCCTCTTGATTATCCTGACTGGAATCCACGGAGTCCATGAAACTAATCTTTTCTATCTGAGGGGAGTAGTTAGGGAGCAAGGCACTCACAAACTCTCGATGGTTTTCTTCTTCTTTATTCTTTCTTTTCCTCTCACTATCTCATGTTGTTTTACAGCTTTTTTTCCCAAGAGAATCTTCCAGGCAGTACAAGAGTCAAAATGGTTGCATTCCATTTCCCAAGTGAATGATTATAGGTGAAAACATGTTTTTAATTTCCCTCACACGATTAAACATTTTTTGTGTTACAGGTCAAAAACAAATTATCCCAAGAACCCACATGCATTCATACCCAGGCAACTTGTTATTGATTAACCATTTGGGCAAGCAAGGTGTTCTTGTCAGGTCTTTTACTGGCAGGCTGCATTTTGCGGTTACAAAGAAAGAAAGGGCCAAATACTTTATTACTTATCTTGAAAGGTAATCTTATAAGGAATCGTAAAGGAATCACAAACCTAAACTTTTATGTAGAAAAAAGAATCAGTCAGCTCTACTTTAGGGTGCATACCCACTCATTAACAGATTTTTTTTTTTTATATCAAGGGATTGAGGGTAGAAATGGGTATAAGGAATTAATAATCACCTTTGGTCATCAACCAAACCTAGCAAGGAGAGTATGTCAGCCAGCAAGCAATAACTGGGCTGCCTTGTTCTTGTTCCTTGACCTGAAAAAGTTCCTCACTCAACTATGTGCCTCTCTAAAACTTTAATTTGTCTTCTTGGGTTTTCACCTCAAAGTTATTTAACAAAAAATCTTAGCCTAACTTTGTTATTTTCAAAGCTTTGTTTCAGTTGTGATACACTCCTGTGAACACATCTCCCGACATTAAGGTTGAAAGAATTTAAACTAGCTGGGCTATTGGGACTCAACTGTTAGCCATTAACTCGAGCTACAATTCATGCAGCTCCTTAGGTGAGACTCACAGGCCCTGGCTGTGAAACATGTCCTCGTATTTATTTTTATTCATCAAAAATCTATATAAGCGGGGCTGGAGAGATGGCTCAGTGGTTAAGAGCATTGCCTGCTCTTCCAAAGGTCCTGAGTTCAATTCCCAGCAACCACAAGGTGGCTCACAACCATCTGTAATGGGGTCTGGTGCCCTCTTCTGGCCTGCAGGCATACACACAGACAAAATATTGTATCCATAATAAATAAATAAATAAATATT